AATTTCGAAATATTGACAATAAGGTAGACCACAGCTGGTAGGTAAGTAGAAACGTAGCCTGAAGAAGGGAAAAGGTATCCAAACTTGCGCTTCGGTGGAAATGTTTTAGAAATGTGTAGTACAGAGCGGCGTACGTGTTAAGCTCATACTGTTAAAAATTTCAAAGGCAAAGCTATAGAATTAACATAAATGTGGCCATATAGAAGAAGATTATACTTAAAACTCACACAAATATTTTTTTTTATTATCTTTTTAATCCTACAACTGCCATTTTAACACCGAGCATACCTTAACCCTGCTTTGATCGCCCACAGCCCGAGACGTATGTTTTTTTAAAATGTACGCACTCTCTTTCGGGAAATGAAAAATTCAATCAGTAATTTTTATCCTTTTAATTATGGAAAATTTCTATATATAATCTAAGTATAATCCATTTAAGTTGTAAAAAGCATGTAAAGAATCCAAATTTGGAAGAAAAAAATTTCATAGAATTGCCATTACAGTAAAATTAATGCAAGCAAAACATTATATTTATCAAAACGGGGTGAAGCTAAGAAAAAATAGTCTAAAAAGGAAAGATATATTTAGGGGATTCACGAGACATCGTAAGCGTCGTAATGTCTTAAAGTCGTAAAATTTGTCTATGTAAAATAACAGTTCAAATATTTTTAAAGTACGTTCAAATAAACCAAAATTTTTTAAAACTAATAGAGCAAATATTATTAGTTTTTATTTTACCCTAAAATATTGCAAAAATGCAATTTTTTTGACACATTGACCTCGTTTTTGTCAAAATCTTGAGCTAATGGAAACTTTATACACACTTACGGATTCGTAATCAGCACAAAAAGGACTACCAAAACGAGCTTTAATATTTTCCGCACTAAAATCAGTGTTGCCCTGTGTAATTCATTGTTTTCAATACCTACATAAATATATTTCTTCAATAAAATGTGTGCTTGCTGTCAGATACACTAAACAAGAGATGCAGTTGGCTTCTTCTGGTTCTTTTTTTTTTAATTATAAATATTTTCTCTTAAAATCTAACCCGTGTGATTGAGAAAAGTTGCTAAAATATGTTTGATAATATAGCATATCATTAAAATTTTAAAAGAAGAAGTAAAGAAGTAAAGTTTGGGCGAAACCGAACATTATAAACCCGGCGCACGTATTAAAAAATCGTTGTTTCACCTTCTAGTAAACTGCATGATAAGCACGATTATTTTTTCCGATGTCAAACAGATCTATAATATGCAATGATAAATTGAAATAATTGGCGCAGGCTTGGAGGAAATCGATAAGGTGGTTATCGATATACACTTATGTAGTCATAAGTGAGTGGTGTGTCTTGTTAAGAGATTGTTGTAAGTTGGCGTCTTTAATTATTGAAATATTGGAATTTTCGTATATATGAAATTTACCGTTTTATGGTAATTGCCGGTAATTTGAGTCCGATTTCAGAAAACTCCAACATACTGTTTTTTTGCGCCAAGGTTGATAAATGTGCTGAGTTTGGTAGAAATTAATAAATCGGTTACCAATATACACATATGTAGGCGTAAGTGGGCGGTGCCGCGCCCATTTTTCCCAAAAATTTCCCTAAGTAGCATTTTCTGCTTAGAGGTCATTGTATGAATCGATTTTGAGTAAATTAGCTTGAATAGTTACTGAGTTATCGCGGCTTTCGTGTGTCCGTAAGTTTCCGTTATTGGCAGGTGGGCGTGGTTTTTTTCTGATTTAAAAAATTTTGAAAGTGTTTCTTAGTGAGGCTCTAAGTAATGTTCACACAGAGTTTGGTGGGATTGGTAAAAGGTCTACAGATGCCCCGCCCATTTTCCAAAAATTTCATAACACTATTATTTAATGCCAAATTTCTACCTCGCATACCAACTTTCAAAAATTTTCTCCAGTATTGACGAAAATATTGTAGCTTTTGCATATTTCGAAAATACCATTATATGGGAGGTGAGCGTGGTTATTGTGCGATTTTTACCCTTTTCAATCCCAATCTGCCTTGAATAAAGGGAAATTTACGTACCGAATTTCTTTGACATATCTCGATTTTTTTTAGGTTATCGTGTACAAGGACGGACAGACATGGCTTAATCGATTTATCATTTCATTGTGAGCATTTATGTATGCATTTGTTATAAAAATAGTCTACGATCGTAGACCAGTAGCTCGTTTCTGTAACTCTTCTCTACCGATTATTTCTCTATTCGTAGAGAATATACGCCATTCTTTATTACTCATTAGCAGTAGAGAACAGGACGGCGAATTCATATCCCAATTCGTCTTGGTAGAGAATTGTTACAAAAACAAGCTATAGGTCACCATTGATATAACAATATACCACGTGACCATCGGAGGGTTAGATAATTTCAGTGGTCGTTGTGTGCTGCCAAATCGCTAATACGAAATATAAATACCGTATAAAATATCGCGTAGCCTGTATAAATGTAAAATCTTCTAGCTAGCTGCCTGACTGCCATTAAAGTAATATAAATTTACCTCACACATACATTCATCGCATTAAAGCCAACGAGCGTTGTCATTGTTGTAAGCACTTGTTGGTTGGTGTGGCTGTTTGCGTTGTCCTAGTCTACTGCGTGCATAATGGTAAAATTGTATAGATAAAATAACGAAGTCTGCAATAAAAAGTGGGCTGAAAGAAAACTGTTGCTTTCTTTGTATGCCACCAAACCGCCAATCGCTTTGAATTTAAAATTAAATTGCGGCTGAGCACCTTAAGTGAATTTAAACCATTACCAGGGAATTTCTTATACTACACACCATTTAATTCCAACGCATACATACATACATACATACATACATAGGTATGTAGCTCGTTCGACGTTGTACTTTGCACACAATTTCTTTCTTTAATTTCCCCTCTGGTTTTTTTTGTGCATTGTTTGGCTGTCNCCATCATGAAAGTGCTAAACATGTGATGAAGAATTTTTCCCTTTTTTTCCTATTTTCTATTGACGTTTTTATCGCATACATATGTACATATTTAGTTACTTACATTTGCCCAAAAAGTATTTGAAATACCAGCGCGTTTGATGCTCAGGATTCTCCAATATGGGTGTGCTGGGCGAGCCAAAGACCTGCGAAAATTGAACGGAAGTTATATAAATAAGTATTTGGCTGTAATAGGTTGAGCACGATAATAAGAGCTTGCTAAATGTCAAGTCCAAAAGGTGTAATCAATCAAAATGTAAAAATACATTGATGTTGAGTGTGTATACCCTTGTAGAAATGTGCGTATATACATATGTATGTATTTATGTATATTTTTTATATCCGTATAGTAAGTATTTGTTGATTTGTATTCAAATTAACATTCACTTACTAACCGTGAACTTGTTGCAATTGACATGAAAAGAAATCATTTAGTTGCTTACATACATGCATACATAAATGGTGACGTATAGACTAACAGCATTTAAATGAAAAAAGAATTTTTTGGTTTCTGTCAATTTCCATATAAAATTCAAAATATTAAAAAATGTTTTTTTTTTATGCAGATTGGACCGTAACTGCGCTCGGCTGTTGCTAAGTTAAGACCATTGACAAGATTACTAGGTTAGGTAAATTGTAGCTTGGTGGAACTAGGTAGCTCTCAATTTATGATCATTAAGATTTCAGCGCCATTCATACTGAATACTAGAATTTTGGGTACTTTAAAAGCAATTTTAATTTTTTGAGAGTTAGTAAGCCATTTTGTAAACATTAAAAATTCTGTCTACAAGCTTAAAGAACAGAAATACGTATACAGATTGTTAAACTACAACACTTGCTTGAAATGCAATGAATAAAAACCCGCGATCTAGGATGACTGAAAGTTTTGCACTCACACTTGCGAGGGAAGTTAGAAAGATGGGTACCATCTTGAACCAGCGTTGTCATAAGTGAAGATTTATCTACAAAACTACGATTTTTTGAGCTATTTGAGTTTTCAAAAATAAAATTTTATGTGCAAGATTTAAGATTTTTAAAGTTTAAACTTAAAACAAACTTTTAGTTTAATAAGATATAAAAAAGAGAATATTGCAAAAAACGCGACTATTTGATATTTTGATCTCGTTTACCTAACAATCTGGAGCTGATGGAAACTTTTTACTTACGGATTCCTAATCAGCTCCAAAAATTGTATCCTAAACAGCTTTAACATTTGCTGCACCAAAATTAGTGTTGCCCTGTGTAAATTTAAAAGTCAATATTGAATTATATGTTTCTTTGAAGAAATTTAAAATAAAGATTTTTTCCGATCAAAAATATTTTTTAACTTAAAAACATTAAAGCGAACCTCCATAATAGGTATGCGTATCCGTATGCGTTAGTGTTTTTGTTTAAGAGAATATTCGCCACCAAACTCAAAACGGTGTCACAAGCGAACCTTTGGGTCAACGCCTTGGTAGACACACAGTGCTTTTATTTCCTAACGAGAAAGTGGAAAATCATGTTTTTCTTTATTAGTTGTTATTAAACGACGTTTTATACTTTCTCATACTGCACTGCATATACTTTAGGGCCATTAACCCTCCGTCTATCAAAAAAAAAATGTATATACACTTTGATGACCAATATTTACTCAGGAAAGCCTTTCTTTAATATTTTGATTTCTAAGTTGCATAAATAAGTATGCGAATCGACTTCCTAACTCCCGTTAAACATATATGTATATAAGAAATTTAGGAAACCAGTTGCGCTAGCCAATGCGATGCATTCATTACCCCTTTTGGTATATTTATTCGAATTTCGGGGAATTCCCAAAGCTGAAAGCAACAAAAAAATTGTAAATATTTTGTAATTTAATCGAAAAAATATTGGTGTAAATTTCTACCACACAAATCAATACACAGGCGAAAGATTAAAAGGGCACCCAAATAATTGCTAAATGGCAATAACAAGTTTATAAGTATTGACTAAACATACTTAGTAGATATTGAAAATGTTGAAATTATAAGCATGCATCCTGGGGAGGCTTTGTAACAACGACATGAAAAAGGTTGACTGCTCTGTGTCGAGTGTTTGGCTGTTTAAGAGCCAAATCAGGGCATTTCAACTTGCGTACACTTTTGTATTGGCTGATTAAACAAACCAAAAAAATATATTTTATCGACCCTTCTCAAACACTTGACAAGCTAACGAATTAAGAGGAATTGAAAAGCTTTTGTCACATTTCGCTTTAAAAATTTTCTCATACGTACACGAATGCCTATAAAGCGGCAAGCTTCGTGAAGTATTTCTTATTTTTTGCTTAAATATTGTATCTATGTAATCTTTGGACTTTGTGCATCAACAGATTGAGCAGCAAGATTGAAATAAGTATGTATGTATATTATGGCGTTTTAATTTCTTGTGAAATCCTTCCTAGCAAACTCGGATTCATGTTATATAAAATTCAAAAAAAAATCCACAAGGGAATTCGGACCCGTCCAATTATAAAAGAAACTATCTTAAATTTAGACTAAGTTCTACTAAAGTTTCCTTTTATTAATATTAAATTTAATGTTGGAATGTAGAATTCGAATCTGCTAGCAAAGATGTCGAAAAAACCGTTCCATACAAATTAACCAATCCTAATATACACACATATAAAGAAATCGGATTTTTGAGGTACTTTCCAATGGGTCCAACTCGCGGGAGTCTTTAAATATAATAGGTTTTATAATTACGGCAGGAAATCCACCACTTTTTTTTTTTTGGTGAGGCACACTAGTGTACATATTGATGTAAATTTGTATGTGTATCTAAATTCATTAAAACGACCATCGATCACTCAGTGGCATTAATGTTTCATGTATTTGCGCTCATTTTTTGTGTATATAAGAATGTACTTCCGATTTTTGTATTAGCTTTTACTCATTTTAGGTTTTCGTTTTCCTTACTGGCTAAGGTATGTATATTTAAACGCTACATATAATTGGCTAGAAAGAAATAACTTATTAGTGGCACACATGAGAACATCTCTGAACAGAGCCTTCAAAGAGTTTACAGAATAACATCCTGCAATTTTAGTAAATGGTTGCACTGAAAAAAAAATCTACCAAAAACTGGTTAATATTATCAAATTCAAACTTTAAAAGGAATCAATGTGATTTTTGGTTAATATTAACAATGCCTTAGTTGATATTTTCAACAATGATTTGGTAATATTAACCATACTTTTGTTTACGCTTTTGGTTGTCAATTTGTTCGTTTGAATACGCTTGTGCACTCCACCGAGGCTTTTTCATAATTCGGAGATACAAAACAAAAATTTGTATTATGATTTTAATATGTTGCCTCTAGGGGAATTTGAATCCGCATCTTCTGAAAGTTAGCAAATAACAGCAAGCACTCAGCTACAGCCGCTTTATAAATGTCTCTTCAATTTATCAACTTGAACCAAGTTTCTTCGTCGTTTGATTTGGTTCTGCACTTCACAGATGCTTTTTCGTAATTAAAATGAAAAAGAGAAAAAAAAATTATTTGCACCTCTGCACGTTCAGCCACAGCCACAGCCACACGAATTAGTTTTCAAATGTTCAACTTGAATCACATTTATTGCAATCGGTGTATTAACCATGAAAAAACCAAACAATAACTTGGTTGAAAAAAACCATTGTACTTTTGGCTCAGTGTGATACGTGTGTAATCCTAGGGAAGTCGGGGTAGGCGCGTGAAAAACATTTTTTAAGGAGGAAAAGGATTTGTTATAAAAGTTGAATTTAATAATTTTATGTTCATCACACGCGCTGTCAGACAAATAATAAAGTCTTCTACAATTGCCGATTTTCAGCACATACAGAAATTATCCTACTAGAAAACATACTCTTTTACACCCCTACAAAGCCGCTGAACTATTTCGATTAATTAATTTTTCGATGTCCTTGGGAGAAACCCTGCTCGTCCTATTAAAAATGTAAAGATGCAGATTTACTAGAAATCCGTTCAAATATGGGAACCATATCGAATTTTTCGCACTTCAAAAGTTGTAATGGACGATTTGGTAGCTTTAATTTAAGTTATAAACTAATAAAAAAACACAAAATTTAAGTTATTTAGTTCGTAACGAATACCTTCATAGCCAAAAGTATTGATATGTGTAGGTATGGTATGGTATGGCAAAATGTAGTCTTTTCAAGAGGGAAACATCGATTTAGCTAAGGGAGCCAAGATGTACCAGCCAGATTGTACCATGGTAATAAAGAATACTTAAGAAATGCAAACAAAAAAATTATTTAACAAGGCCATGCATTACGAAAGCGAAAATTTTATGGCTTCTATTGTTTTGAAACCAAAAAAGAGTTCAAAATCGGAAATTAAAATTATATTTAAATACTTTCCTAAACTTATAATATCAAGTGATTCTCAAAGTTAAAGCTCAAAGAGTCAAAAGCGAACTTCCGACTCACTTCCAATAGCATTATAATTTCATTAAATGCATGGCGCATGGCTATCAGAAGATCCTGTTGCTTAGGAAACGAAAGCTGTTTAGAGCAATAAAAAATTAAATTAATTTTAAAGTAACGCTTTTGATCTCCCAACTTTAGTACAATAGTGCAAAGTGTAGCAGATAAACAACAAAGAGTGCTTAACTGAAGGGAAAAAGACAAACGGATAGATTTATGATAAAATAGCGTACGCTGAAAAGCACAATACAGCGAAATTCTATGAATAAATTAAACGAGAATTTGTTTGTGTTTTTCCATTTGAAAGAATTTTGGTGAGATTAGTGTAGCCACACACGTTGACAACGAGAGCATACGCGGTTGGATTTCAACAGTTATCCGTTCGTTTATAAAAGTAGGCATGTGTGTGTGTGTGTGTGTTTATTTTTGACATATTGGTGTAGCCGCGGGGAGACTTACATGAATACAGCTACTGATGGGAAAAATATTTGTTTGTTTTTGCAAAATGCAATCAATATTACTTTATTGTGATTTAGTCACATTTGAAAACATTTTTTTCTTTTGTACAGAGCCTCAAGTCAAATAAATTTAAATACTGCCTTGCAGGTTGGGCCGATCTACAATATGTACATATATTTCAACGAACGAAATAACGTCGCTCAAACTCATATATGTATGTGTTTGTTTGTGTTTATAATTGCTTGTATGCAAACTAGAAGAAACGCGCTACCTACGGGTACATATGCACACACATTACAAACCTGTTATACAACAAAAAAAATTGAAAATTTGCGCAAATTTCGTTGGCAAAATATCAGAAGAGAAATGTAATCGAATAAAAATTACACTCAATTCAAGTTTGCACATTTCCCTTTGAATATTTTTATACACACAATCATACTCATTATTTTTTCAAAAAACAATATCCAGAATGTTGTTAAAAGAAACTGAGCCATAGCTATGACAACATTATTTGGCCATTTTCTTTTGACCTTAATAACTCCTTGTTTTCATGACATTCAATTTCGGATAAAATTGGTGATTTAAATACAATATAACTCTGATATCCATACACATGTATACTTTACGTTTAGTCATTTTTTGATTAAGGTATTAACGGTAGGAGTTTTTATATTGAATTAAAACCAAAATTTTTGTTGGAGCAAAACAGCCCATAAACAGGGTCGATTTCTATGAAACAAGTTTTAAAATGACATATTTGTAGTACAATAGGACACAGTGGTGTTTTCAAAATCAAATTAAAATAATAAGTATATTTAATCTTCAATAAAACTGTAATGCACTTTCAAGAATGTTAATCTGAAATCCCATAGAATAAGTGAAGTTATTATAACAGAAATCAACATGCTTTTGTGTTGTTTAGTGCAAGCTAAGGTTAGGTTGAAATAGCTGCCGGTAAGTATAGTATCTTTTTAAAAGAAGTACGACGCTAGATTTTTAAAGAATTGTATTGAAGAGATATGTATATCGTTGGTGATACTGCAAAACGTTCTATGCCACTTATGGTGCTCTGGGAGCCCGGCCTTTTTTAGGTCTAGAAAATCCCACGATCCTTGGCAAATAATCCCGGGATTTTCGGGATTTGCGATTTGCACTGATGGCAATAATAGAAACTCCTTTACTTGACCAGTTTTGGCTATATTTTTTTTTTTAGTTCATAATTAATTTTCTTTTTATAAATGTTTAGCTCGTTGTATATGTATATACTCAAAAATCAAGATCTTCGCGAAACCATGGGCTACATATAGTAAAATTGCATTTTTAGTTTTTCACAGGCCTTGCGGAGTGGAAGCGCGCACTGCTTACCACTACACTGCAGTGACCGACTTACAAGTGCTTATTAAATTGCCTTTAAAGAGTATGTAGTTAATGTTCAGTTAGGACATATACTACGTAGTAATGTACTTAAGTATGTATGTGTGTAATGTTACGTATACGCACCTCATCCTTTTCGGCCAATGAATCACCGGTTTCTACACGAAAACGTTTAAAATTCGGATCTAATCCATCTAAATCGGTTTGCGGTAGCTGCAAATAAAGAACAAGAACGAAATGCGATTGATTAGTAAGTAAGTTAATTTATGAGGAAATTTAAATAAGACTCAAAATACGTTTCACGCAAGAAAGTATAAGAGAACGAAAAATGACACTGAAGATGGCACAACGCCGAAACCGGTTTGTCTGCAAACCAAACTTGACAAGGGATGACGGAAATTCATTCCAAAATAAATCAAAGTATAAATACTTAAGTATAAAGACATTTCTTTAACATAGAAATATCCTTAAGAAAACCACAAGACCATTTAAGGCACTCTTTAATCTACATTCAACGCGCACCGCCTTTCATAAAAGCATCTGATTAACTTTTATGCCACACAAAATTTTTCTTAAGAAAAATAATATTCCTAATTGCCGCCAAGGAAGTGCTTTAAGGTTCTCACTGAAAGCGACCAAATATGAGACTTCATGGCCCCATAACATTTAGTAAATGTCAATGTCACACCTAGAGAATGAAAGTGCTGGCAAAATGAAAGCGAGAAGCGTAAATGAAAATGAAAGGATTACAACAACCTCCACGAAAAATGCCTGCACTTGTATGGGTGCTTCTATGTATGTATGTATGTGTGTATGTGTCTGTGTGTGCGTTTACGAGATATGGAAGGCATTATTTTGCTCTACGTTTATTACGTCATACAGTGGATATTTTTAAGGCTGACTTTTGGCTATGTTTGTGCACATTTATGGTTTTGAAGGCCTATAGCCGTTGCAAAGAAATTGCCTCTTTGGGATTGTTGACATTTTAATTGCACAAACGTCCCAAGCAGCCATTACCCAGCAAAAAACTGCTGAAGTGTGGAAAAAAGAACGTTGATGAGGAGATGTGGTGATCTCCGAAATAGCTGCTATAACTTCTACCGCTTAGACTTTGTTGCTTTTTTAATTTTTCCTAATAAACAATCGAGGTACAAAGTACAATAAAAATATTAAAAACGAAACTTACAGACTTTTAAGTGCTTTAAGCCAAATGCATTTCAAAGTAGTTGAAATCAAATGCAGAGTCGGATAATTGACTGATGCCTAGAGCATCACCATGCTAAAGTCAACAGTTCGTTCCAAGGCAGAAAGTACGGTTTTCAACTATGTACGTAGTTGTGGTGGGTAAAAAACTGGTTGAACATCAATATTTAAACTAGTTTCTTGCCGTACTGGGTTGCTACAACAAGACATACATACATACATACACAAGTACTCTCACGCAATTTTCTCAACTAAATAGCTTGCAATTACAATGTTGTTTATGTAGGCAATAAAGAAGCGTGGGTTAGCGCGGCTCTTTTCATCTCCCAACAACTAATTGAAATTGTGGGAACAATGTCTTGCGAGCTGAAAGCAACTGTTGCTAAACAATATCCTTGCGCGAAACTTGCTTTATATCAGTGCAGAACAAATACTAAATGAAACGAAACAACGACTGGCTTTCAAATTCTAGCTGTTTGCTATTTAGTGGTGGAGAAATCACCCATCAATTATATTGGATAACGTGCAATTAATTGTCAGTTTCGCACCTAATTTCAATTATTTGCTTTGGTGATTACTTTTCATTAGTAAACAAGTGATGAATGGACACAAGTGCGATGGTATGAAGCTAAGTCAGTTGAAATAGGATTTATTTGTGCTGAACACCCAGGCATTATAATAAAAGAGACTACCACGGGTGATTGCCTAATCACAAAAAAAATTAATACTCCGCAATTTTCGTCTCCTTTTTTGGCATAAGTCCCTTAAACGTAGCAGGTAAGGGCTTATCGAGCCTATTGTGAAAGGCCTAAACCCTTCATAAACTAAGTGATTGGGATAGAACAAATAGGCCAACATGTCTGAATTTCGTATCTCCCTGAAATTTGCGTGGCTGAGTAGATGTAATAATTTTTCTGAGAGCATGCAGAGCAGACCTTGTGAAGGAAAGCTTCGTGTGCTTTATTCGACTCGGTCAAAATCGCTTAGGCTATTAAAGTGAAAGTAAAAAAAAATGAGAAGAAGGGAAAACAAAGTCTAGGTTTCACCATACCGCGTTCTTTTAAATGCTGGTTAAATAGATAATAAGTACGAAAACGGGTGCATAAAATGCGATATTTTAAATTAAAATGTTTTATTTTGACTAGGAGCGCCATTTACTGTCGAAATTCTAGTTCTAGTTTTTAAGAGCCTCGGAGATTTTTTCGAACTTAGTACGTCGTTTAATTTATAAGGTATAACATTATTTGCCAGAAAATATGCCGCTTTGAAGCTAAAACGTGACAACTAGATATCTTTGAAGAGCTTGAAATAGACTCGATACATTTCAGATTGTCGATAAATTTCGTTAATTTTATATATATCGATAACTCGATGAATTTCAAAAACACAGGATTTGATTGTTTTTGAAATTCATCTATCAATAAAACTCCATAACTCGACACATTTCGATAACCATCGATAAATCTAAGAATCTCGATAACTCAAAAATTTACATATCTCCATATAAATCGATAGCTCGATAAACTTTGGATAACTATCCAAATTCCGCAAACTTCCTTAATTCGTTATCTATCCGCAAATGCGGTATAAATCGATAAAGAGCTCGTAAGTTTGAAGAATTTGATCCTTTACGATAACTCGATACATTAACATAGCTCGATAAATTTCGTTAACTCCATACAAAATGATAATTAAATAAAAATCGATAACTTGATAAGTTCTATTAACTTGCAGAGTTTCGATAATCAAATAAATCTGTATAACTCGATAATAGATTCCGTCGACGCAATAAACATTTTTAACTCGATAAACCTCGATAACTATAACCTATGATTGTTCGATATATTTCGATAACTTTAAACTTTCATGGCTCTATAATTTTCGATAACCTGATAACTGAATTTTCGGTGTCAGGATTTTTTCGATTCTTATAAAAAATTTAAAAAAAATTCCTTAATCCTTAAGTATCTTTGACAGCTGTTACTTTTGTCTTTATCTTCAATTGCCAAACCGAACGGTGACAAAATTTATGTTAGCGTATTAATAGGTCGCTTATATGGTTGCAGCGCCTTAGAGGAATCTGCATAGGCCCAAAATCTGGTCACACTTTTTTATGCCAAGTATGCAGTAGAGTTATGAGAAGAGGGTTCATAAAACCGTTCAAATTCCAACAACATGTTCTCTTAAGGCGGTAATTTCTCGATCCAGCATGTTGAAGGAATTTGAACGGTTTTATGAACCTGGCAGTTCATTTTAACAGAGGCTATGAAAGTATTTATTGCAGAGGCTGTTAACCTCGATAGTTAATGCTACCGAGGAACAACACTTTAAAGACATTGGCTTAAAGCTTCATAATGGATGAGTTTTATGAAGGTTGGATGCAACTGTTTACATTTCTCAGTGTTTCAGTAGATCCAAAATGGAAGGCGGGTATGGATTAAAAACAGCGAAGCAACCTATTCTGAATAAAACGATGAAAAATATTTTTGCATGTGTACCATTATTAGATTTATAACAGAGAATGATAAGCATCTCACATCGGATTAGGTGAACTTGGCAGAATACAGGATTTTATGAATTTCACAAAGAACTTCAACCTTAAAAGTTCAAGGCAAAAATCAAATTTTATATCATCAATATTAATCAAATATAAATTTCCATTTGGTTCACGTAAAACATTTAATTATCCACACAAAGCCACAAAATTCTACTTGACTTTTCATGCTCCAAGTATCAAAGTTCAATTAAGTGTTCTTAGCCATCAAAGTCGAAGCATGGCATGCAACAAAATACGTATACTTGTGGGTGTGGAGTGAGTGATTATCTGTATTAATTTCCTTTTTCCACATCCTTCATTTTCCTTCAATTTACTTGTGGTCTGTTGCACATACTCCTCTCAATTCGAATCTCCATTGTCTACAGCGTTGTATTAATTTCACTGATTTCAGCAAAAACCTTTAACCTTGTGCACTTAAATCACTCTTCGTGTTCATATTCAACGCTCACAAATGTAGTGGCTTCACCGTGGTTCTTTGACATCATTGTCGCTGATGAATCTACTGAATCTTTACCAACAAATGTATCCGACGAACTTGCTCTTAAATATATGCCTTACAAAAAGCTTTTTTTTTGTCTTTCTCAATTAATCACGCCGCACATCGCTTCAGGTGGAATGTGAACGCCAATATTGCTTCCTACTCTGGCTCTGTAGGTTGTTGACAAGTTCTTGCCAATCATTCGAATTTGTGTGAATGCTGAATAATTCGTGTATTAAATACATACTTGCTTTGATACATCTCTTTGCTTTAGAAGAAAAATTAGTATATCAGTAAGCTTATGAAATTCGAGTCGTTTAATATTAAGGTTTCAACAAAATCAATTTGTTGTAGATATGTAGTTTTCAGGTCCATATTACTGCCTATATTTGGGGAAATCCGGCCAAGCGCCGTAACTGCAAATGGTTTGGAACTGCAACAACAGTAGTCACAATAGTTTTATTTTGCTCAATATTTTCTGGTATTTTGAAAGCATATAAACGCACACATAAGCCTATGCGTACCTAATTAGACCCTTACTCGAATTCGTCTATGTAAATATGTATCAAAATTTTGTCAAATATTCCACAAACATAAAAAAGCGTCTGGAAATTTTAATCCCTTGTCGGCTTTATTCAAATTCCTTTTGCGCTTTTAACTAGAACTTTTCAAAGTTATTCATCACAACGTTTACTGAACTTAAGTAAATCCACAATGCTTGATGACATACTTACATACTACTTCCACAAGTAATTTAACTCTATCCACCCGTCGCGTCGCCAACTGTGTTAACTGTTGCGTTTCACACTTGCGAAACTTTGTCTCTGACTTTGTACTATTTTATGTATGTATGTTAATGTATGTAGTACATACATAAATAAACCAAGTCCATATTGTAGACACCGCTGCCTTGTCGCCTTAGTTGTTTCGGTTTCACTTTTCCGATAAACACTTTAACAACTGCTGATAGCTTGC